AATTAACTAATTTAATGATTACTGTTCTAACTCTCAAGTCAAGCCCATGCCTAGTTAGTCTAGACCAACCCAACCAAATTTCTAAATTTAATATTTTGATTTAATTTTTTGGTCCTATTATTAATTTCATTCTTAACCCAGATTTAGGCATTTTTAAGTTTTTATCATTCTATTTCCAATTTCACACTTTCATTCTCTAACCAATGGGTCACTGACCCCAAATCATTTGATAAATTGAAAACCTACATCTATATGCCCAAATCGAAATCGCCGACTGTCGAGTCTGACTTCCCCTCTCCAATGCCCATCGAAGCCGTGACCTCCACCACGACAACCGATTGTTGACCATTAGAAATCTGTTAAAAAATTTAATTATGGTACGAAACCGAACTGAACCGAACCCGAACGGTTCCATAATTATATTTGGACCAAACGGTTCCATTTATTAAATACCCGAAAATTTTGGTTCGATTCGGTTCTGAAAATCGAACCGAACCGGACCATGTCCAGCCCTACCAGATTTAATTGATAAAAAAGATGGGAAAGAATCAGCTATTACACCAAGATCTTCTTCCGCTTCCAATCCTTAATTTGAACTCAAATCCTTGATGTATTTCTTCTCGCGAATTCATCTTCGATCTTATGTTTTTCTCTCAATTTTATAAAGTATGGAACCCTCTTTTCAATGTGTGGGAACCTATAATTTGTGTCTTCTTTGGTCTGTTTTTAGTTTCTCACACGTCATTGGCCAAATTGGAGACTTTTTGTGGGCTTCTCGCGGCCCAAACAACAAAAACTAAAAATTGACGGCGCAACGCCTAGGTACCACGATTGCAGCACCTGGGCGCTGCAAATCTGTAAAATTTTGGAAAGTACAGTGCCTGGGCGCTGTGTTTACGGCGCTTGGGCGCTAAGTTGCTGTTCACTTTGCGTCTATTTCAGTATTTTTGTCATAACATTTTCTTTCAATGTCCAATTGAGAAGATTCAAGATGATTTGGAAAGATAATTCAAAGAGCTACAACTTTGATAGAGATAGCTCTTCTTAAATTCGAACGTTTACAAGGCCAAAATGGGTCTCAATCTCCAAATAAAATTTGAACATTCTTGTGCAGTTGAAATTGATTTGTTTTCACTCATTTTGAT